ATAAAAATAAATAAATAAACCCACTATATTTATCAGTCTTAATGTTTTAAACTCATCAGGATTTTTACATCCCTTAGTTGCTTTGTTATATGCTAAACAATTCAAGCACGTAAAATCCCTAAAAGTCACTGTTTAGTTACAAGGATTAAGAACAGACCACCATGGGCCCAATTCAAAAGCTGCAGGAAAACAACAATGAGGCCTTGTAAGCGAACATTCCAACAGCCTCTCCTGGGCTCACCAGCCACCTTGGGGACCACCAGAAGGCACCCAAGCCTGGCATCCGGCTGGGGAGCCCTGGGCTGCAGAGGTGAGGCCAGTGACAAAGACCACAGTCCTCCCACAAGGCAGTCCTTCCCACCTCCAATGGCTTCTCCTGCAGCATCCAGCTGTTCCAGGCCCAGAGTGGCCATAACACGGAGGAAGGACTGGTTTTGTATGTGAGTGCTGAGCCGCCCACTCGGCCCCAGGGCCCCACGAGACCGTATTTCTTCAGCTTCCTGCTTGCACTCAGTCAAGTCAGTAAACTATGCACAGGGATGGCAAGAGCAGGACTGGCCTCAAGGGTTTGCGGGACACCCAAGGCACCCCTCTCCTGTCCTCCAGACTCATAGCAACCAACAAGCAGGGGGCAGTCAGACATGGAAACTCCCGGGGCCCCCAGCTGGAGCAGCCTGTTAGTGGAGCATTCAGACGGCACGCAGGCAGGCAGCCACTCGCGAGAAGGGAAACTACACTGTGTGTGAGTCGAGAGGGTGGCGCCAGAGAGGGAGGGCCCTGGGAGGTGCCCTAGGAAGATAAATGCACAGAATGTGGCATTTGTCCGGGGAGCAAGCATGTGACCAACCAAGTTCCACGCAGGAGGCCCTGGGCAGGGGTCAAAGCCTGGGCCAGTCTGCAACAGGAACAAACTCGAATGCTTCCAGGGCCAGCTCTGGGCCACCAGGGCTCGAGACTTCTTGCCTCCTGCTGTCAGCCCAACCCTCAAAAAGGCTACTTGTTGCCCAAGAGAAAGTTCCAGACCTGCCAGCCTCATGGGATTCTCTCATTACCACCCGTGCCCTGAGAGGCTGCCACAACCCTCTCACCACAAGCTTACAGCAGAAAAATTCTGTGAGACATCCAGCGGCAGCCCCCTCGGGGGTCTGAGAAGAGGAGCCAGGACGGAAGGAGGCCGGGGAAAGGCTCCCAGGAGCCAGGACTTGCTGGACACAGGGATCACCTCACCTCCTAGAAGGCGGGGTCCCGCACATGTCCTTTATCTGGGCCCCTGGACCTGCTGGCTGGCCCCACAGCCCCCACTTCTCGTGTTTCCCTTGGCTTTTCTCCGTCTCAATGCATTATGTGCATCTCTGTAAGTGGCCTCAGAATATTTGGGGGGGAACAGGTAGAGAGTATAAAAGGCGGGGAATAAAAGAGCACGGGAGGGGGCGCCTGGGTGGCTCAGTTGGTTAAGCGACTGCCTTCGGCTCAGGTCATGATCCTGGAGTCCCGGGATCGAGCCCCGCGAAGGGCTCCCTGCTCGGCGGGGAGCCTGCTTCTCCCTCTGACCCTCCCCCCTCTCATGTGCTCTCTCTCTCTCATTCTCTCTCTCAAATAAATAAAAAAAATCTTTAAAAAAAAAAAAAAAAAGAGCACGGGAGGCCTGCTGGCTACCAACCAGCGGCCTGGGGTTCAGGTGTTCTGAACACAGGGTGCTTGGCCTCAGTGACCACAGCAGCGAACAGCTGTGGGTGGGAAGCACAGAACAGCAACCCTGTGGACTTCCCTCTAACAGGTTCATTTAAAACCCCAGTCTCAGAGGCTGGGCTCAGCAGTTCCGAGGGACTTCCCACTCATCAGGGACTCGGGACAGCAGAGGCGGCTCATCTGCTTCCGGAGCTGCCTCGAGAAGGGCCCCAGGCTCACCCAGCATCACAGCCATCACAGAGGAGCAGACGGTCCTCCCGGTCACTCCTGCCGCACACCTCACAAAAGGTTGGGTCTTCCTCCTCATGCTCTCCGGCTCTGGCGTTCTCCACTGGAATCTGAGAGCAGGAAAGCCCTACTGGTCACACGGCAGGAGCCCGAACCGCAGAGCCAACAACCGTGTCGGCGCGGAGCACACCGAGCGGCTCCCGCCGCGGGAAGGCCCGAGAGCAGAGGGAGCCGGCGGGACGAGCCCGGACCCCGGCGCTGGGAGCGTGAGGAGGGGAGCAGGACAAAAGCAGCAGGCCTTTCTTGAGCACTGTCGTTCCACTCAGCAAAGACAGGGAGCCCCGGAGGCCACGTGCACTGGGACAGTCACAGCTGCGCAGGGGGCGGGCTCTCTATGCTGCCATTACCCCAGCCTGGCGCGAAAGCTCTGTGGACACACTCCCCTCAAACGGTTGCCACCCCCGTCCCCCGCCCGTCTCCCCACACCGTGGGGCACAGCCTTGCTCCTCCCCTCCGTCTGTGTCAGCACCCGCTCAGCCTTTTCCCCAGAGCCAGGTGGGAGACTCAGGGTCCTCCCCAGCCTCCTGCACCGTGGCTCTCTCCCCGATCTTCTCCAGCTGAGCTCGCCTGTGTGCCACTTGGACCTCTCTACACACGTCACACTGCCCTGGCGGAGATACTCCAGGTAAACGAAGGCTGCCTACGTGACATGGGGACCGCTTCCAGGGACGGAGAGCGGAGCTTCTGGGACAGGGGAGAGGGGCCTGAACTGGCAAAACCAAAGCTGCTGCCTGCAGCACAAACCTGAGCCTACAGGGGGCCTAAGTCCCCGTGCACCTAGGGCGCTGTGACCTTTGTAAAGAAACCAGCAGGTCTACAGCTACAAGACCCATGTCTAAGGTGTGTCTGCGAGTCTCTGGGATGCTCCTCCTCAACAACAGAAGACTCGTACAGGCCCTTCGAGCCTCTACAAAGCAGACAAGCAAAAGCAAGCACCTAAGAGCAGAGGAGAACTTCTTAGCCCTCCTTGTGCGTTGACCCCTGCCCAGCACCATCAGGGGTGTGGTCTCCCCCTTGGCTATTGTGGCAGAGGAGAGAAGCTGTGAGATGTAGAAAAGGCACATGGGAGTGGGGAGGAGGAAGTCTGAGAAACTGCCACCATCCGCCCCACTCTCCTCTCCCACCTGCCCTCCCACCCAGAACTCGTGGACCAGGCAGCACCTCCATCGACCGGCTTCACCCCTTCATGCTGCAGATGACATTTTAGTGGATTTCTAAAAAGCACTTAACCAATATTTGCTCACTTCAGGAAAACAAATCAATTCCTCAAAGCTCATTCTCCCATTAGACAGGGACCAACGTAATAAGGCACTGGCGGGGAAGAGGGGTTCTCAACCACAGCATCTACACTTACCTTCTTCAGGATTTTACCACCAAACCGGGCTCGGATACAAATACATTTAAATATAGTTCGATCAACTGGACAGGAATTGGCATTCTGTAAGAAACAGAAATTGTATCAGGATCCCATAGGATCGTTTTCACCATTAATACCATACTCAAAGAACTCCTGCAGAAGTAAAAAATTCATCGTACGCTATCATCGACTCTTTACTGAACACACCCTCCAATTTGAGAGATACAGGGGCTCCCATCCTCCCCGGTCTTTGGTCTGGCCTTCCGGCACCTGCGGTGCTGTCTCATGGTGGAACCACACTCCCAACTGCTCCCGCGTGGAGTTAAGAGTCCTTCTCTGTCCTGACAGGCGCCCTGCATTTTCTTCAGAAGGCTCCAGAGAGCTGCTTGCTAGCTTCCCATCTTCAGTCCAGGTGGCGCCGTGTGTGCATTGCGAGCTGGACCCTCTTTCTCTCCGTCTCTCACACTCACATTTCTTTACAAAGAGCGCCACCATCCCTCGTGCGAGGCCTGCCCTTTAGGTCCCCACCACGCTCCTGGGGCCTGGTCTCCGTTCCTGGAGCAATTCTGGTGTAGTCACAATAGTTTTACACATCTTAATATCCAATAGGGGACTTCCCCCTTTCTCAAAAGGACCGGCAATTCTTGGTATTTTCTTTTCCTCCTCTATGAATTTCCCAACACCTCTAGGGCTCTGGATGCTCCAGTCAGGACGGGGAGGAACTGGTATCACCATGGCCATCTCTCTGAGCACTTCCCCTCCAGAAAGTGCTCTTTCTTCATTCAGTCTCAACTGTTTTAGAAAAGCTCTTTGAAGGTCTCACATGTCTTTTTATAACTTACTTCTGAGTATAACTTTTCATCTTTGTTAATCCTGTGCCCGGCAATCTTGCTGAGCTTCGCATTCTGGTAGTTCATTTGTAAGACATCTATGTTGACAAACTTATCATTTGCAAAGAATACCTTTCCCTACGTGACACTTCTACCTTTATTTTCTCCTTCCACGAATCCAATATGATACTGGCTAGAAGACAAGCAACCAGCACCCTGTCACATTCCTCAACTTACAAGGCTTTGCTTGCCCCCAAAATCTACACCTTAATCTAACCTGTGCCACGGAGCAGGGGCAAGTAGTGGCGGGGCAGGGAAGCCCTCAAAGGACAGCACAGCGAGGCAGACGTGCAGCCGCGAGGGCGGCATGAACGCGGCCGAGGTCCAAACAAACTCCCGAGCTCTCTGGGAAAACGGGGAGCAGGGCTGGGGCTATGGGGCTACGGAGCTACTGTTAACCTCGCCGGGGGAGGTGGTGGCATGGAGGTCTGCTACCTCCACACAGTGTCCATGTTGGTGAAGCTCCAGGCTGGGCAGAGGAGAGCAGACTTAAGGTGCCTGAAGACGGTGACGGCGGGGGGGGGGGATGGGGCAGTGGCACACATCATTCCTCCGGTCCTCTTCTACGTCTTTGAAATTTTTCATGGTAAGAAGTTTAAAAAGTAGGAAGGGGGTTACTGCTTCTCAAGTTCACCATGAGAGATGCCTGGGTGTCTCAGTCAGTGAGGCGTCTGCCTTCAGCTCAGGTCATGATCCTGGGGTCCTGGGATCGAGCCCCATGTAGGGCTCCCTGCTCACGGGGAGCCTGCTTCTCCCTCTTCTCCCCACTCGTGCTCTATCTCTCTCTCAAATAAATAAAATCTTTAAAAAAATTAAAGTTCATCATGAAATATACTGTGTATTTCTTTCTCTTTTTTTTTGTTTTAAATTTTATTTATTTATTTGACAGAGAAAGAGAGGGAACACAAGCAGGGGGAGTGGGAGAGGGAGAAGCAGGCTTCCCGCCGAGCAGAGAGCCCATCGCAGGGCTCGATCCCAGGACCCTGCGATCATGACCTGAGCGGAAGGCAGACGCTTAACGACTGAGCCACCCAGGCACCCCTATACTGTGTATTTCTGATGAATTCTCTCCATCTACTTTAAGGCTGGCTCCCTTTACTGCTGGTCATCGCAACTCAGTGCCGAGCTGAATCTCATGCTCTGCATCTGAGATGGACCACAGCATACTGGGCTGCCTCTGCCAGCCACAGACTGCCCCTAGGTCATTCAAGATTTCTGCAGACAGGTCCCCAAGGGACACTGACCCAGAAATAACCCTCCTTATCCCATGGTGCATGAGCACATCACCCCACAGTGAGCTTTACTGGCCACCCCAAGAGCCAAGAGCACACCAACCAAAGCAAAGATCAAGCCAGGACCCAATTCTATGGCCCCAATTTCTACTGTAGAACAGACAGCACCACCCAGTAAGAGGCTGGCAACCGACAGGGTCACTTGTAAACGGAGAGAGGTCATCCTGAAGGAAAGAAGAACCCAAGAAAAGCTGCCTCCCTCACCTTGGACCATTCGACGATACAATCCAGGCAGAAATAATGGGCACAGTTCTCTGGTGTCCCCACAGCCTGGTCTCTGAAAGTATTGAGACAAATCGGGCAGCTCTCGGAATCATCATCAGAATTAAATGCGCCACTGGCTTCCAACTTCCCCTGAGCGTCCACCACGGCCACTAACGCCTCTGTGCCCTCTTCTCTTCCTCCTCCTCCTCCTTCAGAATCTTCGGAACCTTGGAAAAGAAGAAATGTAATTTTGTGAGTTGGAGCACCGGAAGCAAGCAGGCTACAGCTGCACTCAGGAAGGCATTCCAAATCCCACACTTAGGAGACAGACACCTTCCCTGCTGTTGTGCCCATCCCCGGGCACCTCACCTGACGCAGCTTTCAAGCTAAGAGGATGGGACACCGGCTGAGCGGCTATCCCAGCTCCGCAAGCCCCTACCTTGGTGCAGAATCAGAACCTTCCCCATCAGGGCAGCTCCCCCATCTGACAACGGCCCCTGCTCAGCACAGTGGCCTCCAGGGGGTGGCACACCCTCCAAAACCCTCCTCAAAACATGGTGTTAACAAACCATCTGCCTCCAAGTGAGACTTTTCTTACAGGTCTGTTTTTCTTTCTTTGGGGATGTAGGGACCATACATTCCAAACTAGGTAACTTCGTTATAACAGTTCTGATCAATTTCTGAGAGGTTCTGGGGCTGCAGCCTGAGCAGCAGAAAAGGAGACGCTTTCAGTTCAACATAGCAGTCGACATACACATTCAGTTTTCTCTCCCTCCCAAACGCCACTAGAGGAGCAAGTTCACTTGCACTAGAGATGTGGCAGGCAGGGTCCTCACACAGCCACAGGACACCACCCCATCCAAGCCCTTCCAGGGTGGACAAAACCAGTGCCTCAGCTACAAACCTGCTGCTGCTGCTGCTGCTGCTGCGTGGCCAAGGGAAGTACTCCCTGTTGGCTCAACCTAATCAGGTGCATCCTTTAAAAGCTGTTTTCCCCAGCTGGTTGCAGAGAAAGAAGTCAGAGCAATGTGCGCCTCCAGGCGTGGAAACAAGTGAGCAGCTGATGTGAACTGCTGATCAAGGGGGCAGCCTCTAGGAGCTGAGGACAGTCCCCGGCCGACAGCCAGCCAGAAGTCAGGACTTCAGTCCTACTCCCTCAAGGCTCTGAATTCTGCCCACAAGCAGTGCCCTCGGAGACCCTCAGATGTGCACCGTGGCCCCACGACCCCTGATGTCAGTGAGTGAGATCTGAGCAAAGGACCAGCAACCCACATCTGGACTGCTGACCCTGGAAACACTGAGATTATAAGCACACTGTTCTGAGCTGCTGGGTCTGTGACAGTTCGTTACACAGCAAGAAGAAAAACCTAATGAAATTGGTACGCAAAAATTTTGGAAAAGGACAGGTGAGAAGCTGCATGAGAATGGGCTTTTCTCAGCTTTCCCGCTTTGCTAAGGCCCAAGTGAGCAGAAGTAGGTTGAGGCTAGGTGATCAGATTCTTCCTACGGAATTCCGAAAGGCAAAAGAATTGGCCACCTGAGGGCCACGAGACCCTTGTGCAGCACCTGGGCACACAGAGCGATACCTCTGAAGTCTGAGGGACAGTGACCAGCAATGATGGGAGCGGTAAAGACTTGCACAGATGCACGAAGCCCTGAGCCATCTACCTCTGCTCACCCCTTCTCAGGGGCTGCTGGCCATGGTCCCGACTCAGTAAGGGATCACAGTGAAGAAGGTGCAGACGAGCGCGCCAGCCTGGCCTGGCAGCGGGCCTGAAAACCCCAGTGCAGAAGAGTGCAGGGTCCCCAAGAGGAGCACGGCTCATGCCGCAGCCGAGATGGGGGTGCCTTGGGGCTGCACTGAGCAGGCCACTGTGACTCCCTGCAGAGCAGTGTGTGCTTGGCCTGGGGAGCTGGGCGTGAGGCCACAGAGCAGAGCCCTAAGTTCTCGGTTTTTGTGGTAAGACTTAAGCTGATAATGTATTTTTTAAAAGATATATTTTTTAAAGATTTTATTTATTGTCAGAAAAAGAGCACAAGCAGGGGGAGTGGGAGAGGGAGAAGCAGGCTCCCCGCTGAGCAGGGAGGCCGATGTGGGGCTCGATCCCAGGACCCTGAGATCATGACCTGAGCCAAAGGAGACGCTTAACCAAGCCACCCAGGTGTCCCAATAATATGTATTTTTAAAGATTTATTTATTTGAGAGACAGAGAGAGACCTCATGCACGTGTGTACAAGCAGCAGGAGGGACAGAGAGAGGGAGAGGAAAAGAGAGAGAGAGAGAGAGAGAGAGAGAGAGAAAATCTCAACCAGACTCCCCGCTAAGCGTGGAGCCTGACATGGGGCTCAATCTCAGGACCCTGAGATCATGACCTGAGCCAAAATCAAGAGTCGGACACTCAACTGACTTGAGCCACCCAGGTGCCCCTTAAGGAGATAATACTTGAAGTTGGAAACTCAACAAACCACAATCAATTTTCAAGGATAAATACTAGGCCAAGAAAAGCAACAAGTAGAAAGCTGCTCTGGGAAGGGCCAGGTCCGCAAGGTTACAAGAAATGCCCTTTCAGGAGACTCCCTTCTCTAGTTCTGACTACACTTCCCACCTGCTAAGGAGAGTCAGCCACCTTTTATGTTTCAAAGGCTGGTGTTGAGGAAACAAAGGGCATTCAGTCAAGCTGACAGGCTAGCCAACCAGGGCCTCAGCAACCCCCCTTCCTGTAGCACTCCCCACCTGCAGGCTCTGCACCTGCATCACCCTCCCTCCTGGACACTCTGTGCCACATGTCCCTTTTAGCAGCACTCTGTGCACTACCACCTGGCCACCTCCTATCCTTCACATCACAGCTTAGACGGGCCTCTCTGGAAGCTTCTCCTCACCACTCCAGGTCCACAGAAACCCTCTTCTGGAGATGCCCCTACACACCCACTCTCGCCATGTATTACCCTTGTCGTAACTGCTTCTTTATGCCACTGTCTTTGCTGCTAAGTGGTGAGCTCAGGAACAGCAGGAAACCCAGCTCTGCTGGCTTCTGCACTCCCTCCAGGCTCCACCCAGATTCTCTGGCATCCAGCAGGCCCTCAAACCTTTGCTCGAGGGACGAACCAACGTCTTCTGCAGGTAAGCCCAACGCCCCATCTCAACAGTGGGGGACAAGCAGAACTATATCCATGACCTGCAAACTCAGGACAGAATTTCATTTCCCTGTGTACAGGATTCAAAATCTGTGGACGAGTATGTCACCAATACACACAGAGTTGCAAACTCAAGTCTGCTCATGCTATTGTAGTCCTGTTCCTTCATGAGCACTGTTACCTTTCTGTAACATTCTAACACTGGTAACCACAAGAGCCTGAAAGACTGTGATACACAGATCATGGTATGTGCTTTAGGACCACGCCTCTCCTGACTTGAGGACTGTGCCAGAAGGAAAGCAGCTTGAGCCAAACTTCCAAAGTCCAACAGCCCATCAGCAGAGGCCCAAGTGTGCCCTCCCTCTGTGGAAGGTGACCACAGCTGGAATCGGACAGGATGGCCCAGCCTGGGGACCTTGGAGGCCATGCAGCAGCCAGGGCGGCTAGAAGGGACAGGGAAGGAGGTGCCGTGAGCCCAACCAGAGTCCCTTACAGCAACATTCCCTGCGCAGAAGTTCAAGGGCACAGATGCCAACCAGCGTAAACATGCTGGGAATTCCTTAATAAAGTCACTTCCTGCACTTGCCAGTTCTCTCTGGGGCTCTGGTCAGAAGAATGAGAGGAAGCCATGAAGGGCTCCACCGACCTGGCCTGTTCAGAGTCCCGGCCAGGTGACCTCGGACCACAGCAAACCTTGGCTCTTGCTAAACCTGCCCTGTACTTGGGGGGGGGGGGAATGGGTGGGTGGGTGTGTGTGAGTGAGAAGCACGAGTCACCAAGAGCCCTCTCACCCTGGAAAGACCCCACTTCATGCTGCTCCACATTCTTAGACATTTTACTCTTTAATGAAGTTGTGTTGTCAAACTGGACTCTGAAACAAAGGCACGCCACTGCCCCAACGGAAGGTGCAGCCTGGTGACAGGGGAGCCTCTCCCCAAGTCCTCACAGCCCTCAGCTGGCCAGTGTGTCGAGGCATCAACTCCACCAACAATGTTTCATAAACAGCGGTCCCTGTCACAGCGAGAGCAAATAGCAGGAGGCCACTCAAGTAGCTGCATTCTCACCGGACTGGTCCTCGAGGTCCCCGTCCTCGTCCTCTCCGTCGGTGCCGTAGCTGCGCTCGCTGCCCGTGTCATCTTCAGAGCCCCCACTGGTACTGTCACTGCTTTCTTCTAAAGCAAAAGAGGTGGAGACACAGGCCCCGAGCAAGCGTCACAACCGAGGCAGCCAAGAGCGAGGGCTGCCTCACAGAGGTACAGACGGGCTCGGAAGCACCTGCCAAAGGGACTATGAGCGGCTGCCCAGATGGGGGGATGGAGAAGTTGGGCTGGGGGGGACAGGAGCAGGGGAAGCATATCCTTTCGCTCTATGTACATCCGTACTACTCAGCTAAACAGTAAGATAAACACACGTACCGCTCGTACAATTAAAAGCAAAGAATAACTTTTTAAAAAAGATTAAAAGTTGAATATCGACATATGTAGATAACCCTCAAAAGGGGACTCAGCACATGAGGTGGCCCTGCTGCCTCTGAGAGGTGCAAGCCGCAAACACCTGCCCCCCCACCTCTGGGTGAAAGGGGTGGGAGGCTGGCTCACCAGCATTGCTGGCCAGGGCAGCAGGGCTGAGTCGTGGGTGTCCATCCAGCCCTGGGCTTCGGTCCACAAGCTCGTCCAGGCTGTCGTCATCCATCACTGGACATTGGTAACCAGCTCTGAAATAAACCAGAGTCAAAAAGTTCTCAACCGTCCCAGGATGCAATGCTCCCCTCCTGAAAGCACAAGAGTCACTCGCCACACAGCACGACCTGGTGACGTGTCCATCCGTCGGACAGGGAGGCCAAGCCACAAGACAGAACACAAACAAAGCAACTCAAACCGCAAAGCTGTGCATACGTAGGAGAAAAGACTGATTCCCATCTACACACCGACATTCAAAGTCAAATCTCAATTTATAATTAACCTAATTTAGCTTCAGTCTGGCAACGTTTTGTTCAATCAGGCACCTACAACACCTTGACACTCCCGAGAAATCCTGACACCAAGCACGAATGAAATGGCTTATCACAAGCTGAGGCAAAGCAGGGATTTCAACGTAGAGGGGTAGGCGGTATCAGAGGAGCCTAGGTGACTAACAGGACCCTCTCCCTGCACTCTCTTGCCATGTCACTCAGCCAACGTTGGCCAGCCTGCCCTCTGCCCACCAGATCACCACTGGGAGGCCACGTGTTAGCTGAGGCTGCCCTGCCCTCACCCCAAGTGCACCCACAGGGAGCAGAGGTCAGGCTCACCTCTCAACCACCACCTGCTCTTGGGCTCCTGATGTCCAGGTGGGGACACCCGTCCTGCCTATTCTGTCCTGCCACCGCAAGCACAACACAGACCTAGACAGGTGACCTCACAAATGGAGCAAAACACAATCTACCTCCTTTGCCAGACTTCCAACTCTGGACCCCAAATAAGGGTTCGTTTCTCAACAATGCTACTCACTTCATTTCCCAGGTGACTCTCAGAGAAAACACTTCTCACAGACAGTCCTTCCATAACTCACCAAGACAGGGTAAGTAAAGAACACGCTCGCTGGGGTACAGTGTGCTTCGGGCCAAGTCCACTCTCCATGGTCAGAGGAAAGGGGTCACACAAAAGACCAGAAGGCAGAGGGGCAAAGCAAGAACCGGGGAAGGAGGGTTTGACCCGGTAAGGCTCTCTTCGTGGATCCTACACGCAGGCTTCTTCCCCCACGGGCCGTGTGCCACCACCAAGAGCTTCACATGGCAATCAGAGGGGCCACCACCACCTTTGTACAGATGCTCCCAGAGAATAATCTCCTGGTGGGGCTAAGGCCAGATTCAGATTTTGGAGTGCCTAACTTCCCTTACAAAGCCCCAGATGCTAGGATGATGTCTCCTAAATAGTGAGGGTATATTAATTTGATGAAACTATCAATTGCCTCATATTGTTTCTACCCGGAAATAGTATACTAAGAGGTGGTTTTGTAGAATTATTCACCCCCTAAAGCTACCACCTTTCTTCTATTTAGTGTTCTAAGGTTAAGAAAATGAGCCATGGTTCCAGTCAACTAAGGGTCTGCACCCTCACTGCTTGGTGACTCAGCAACACAGCAGGGACCCAGCCGTCCTGCAGTTCCTGGCCTGACTCCTGCTGGAGACATACAGACCTCAGGACATGACAGGGCCACAGCCCTTCCAGGAGAATGACACCTCTCCTGTGGGGTCAGGGAAGAGGACCTAGAACTCTCTGGCCATTGTCATCACCATTCCCACAACTGGACTTCACAAAGTCATCCTGGGACACCTGCTCCAATACCTACCCTGCCCCTAAAGTGTGCAGCACATTTCCTGCCCTATAGGAAGGTAAATACATTTTTTCAAGTTGGCCCCTAAAAAACATGGGTTTGAACTGCACAGGTCCACTTGCACGTGCAAATTTTTTGGATAAATACAGTACTACAAATGTGTTTTCCTTCCTTGTGGTTTTATTTTTCCCTTCAGCTTACTTTATTAGAAGAAACACGCGTTCATCAACTGTTTATTGGTAAGGCTTCCACTCAACAGTACACTCCCAGCAATAAAGTCTTTGGGGAGTCAAAAGTTATACATGGATTATCATATCCACTGCACGGGGATCAGCGCCTCCAATCCCCATGTTGTTCAAGGGCTGACTGTACTCATACACATAAACCTACCAGGAAACACTTCAGACACCAGAAAACGTAACCCCCTGAGGCCACCTAAGACCACAGAGCACAGCTGAGGGCAGTTTCTAGGGTGCAAATTCTTACCTTGATGATGTTACACAAGCACAGAGTCAAAAGTCAGAACAAACGGCCCCTGGCTTCTCCCCTGGCGCAGTAAGCCCCAGG